CTCGACTTTTTCTAATGTAATTCCATCGTATGTCCATTCCTCATCAACATGTAATCTTCCACTCTTTCTAAATATCATCACTTTCGATTTTTCAGTGTTTACTTCCAAACCCCATCGATTACAATAGGTGTTCAAGTCATTTAAACTCTGTTGAAGACCCTCGATGTTATCCGATAATAGCACCATGTCGTCTGCATATAGGAAAAGGATAAGTGCTATATCGCCATAATGAAGACCACTTCCTGGTCTAGATCCTAGAAATAATTTTAGGTCTTCCATAAACATAGACCAGAATAGAGGTGAACAGATTTCTCCTTAGACCAACGATTAAGTCCATGAAATCCGAATATTGGTTACAATGCCTGACACGGCATCTCACGTATTCATACATTGATCTTATAATTCATAGCATTTCACCATTTATTCCAAGTTAATACATTTTAAACCATAAAGTATTTCTGTAAACGCTGTCAAAACACTTTTTCTTATATATAAATGTAGCAAAAGTCTTTTCCGATTATTAAAACTATTTTCTATTATACTATTTAAACAGAAAATTGCATCTGTAGTGGAAAACCACTTTTTCATTCCAAATTGTGATTCTGAAATAACATCATGCGTAAAACACAACTGAGATAATTTTGCATTAGAATAGACGTAAACAATTTTGCCAAAACAATTATTATTATAATTCCTCTATAGTTATTCACGTCATTTTCGTCGGCTTTCTTGAAAAGCGGTATTATTATCCCATCCATCCAGGCAGAAGAAAAAAATACTTGAGAATATCTTGTGAAATATGTCAACCAAGTGTGACGTGCGAATATCACCCCCTTTAATTAGATATTAATTTATAATTTCATCACTCGATGCCGCCTTTCCACGCTTAAGACCTTTGATCGCTCGATATTCTTCAGAGCTTGTAATAACAGCATGCAGTTTTTCAAATATAGGGTTTTCCGCAATCAGGTTTTCACTACAAAATTAATTGCTCACTGTTTTCATCAAACGTAATATTTAGTTCTTGTGAAAGATTCTTGAAGTACTCATGAAATCAACAGATTTACTTCCCCCTTTCATATCTTTTTTTCTTTGAAAAGTATTTCCAAAAGTCCTTTGTTTTTTTCTTTTTTAAATCCTAGATTTCTTTCATTTTGACATGTTTATAATTATTACGTTTTGATTTCACAATCTTTTTATACAAACGTTTTTTTACATATAAGATAAATCCTGTTTTCATCAGTTTTAAATTCATTAAAACAACACAATGCTTCAATATAATCCCGTTTTGATTCTCTACACGTTATATCAAACCATTCCGCGGGTTTTATAACTTTATGGTTTTACTTGCAAATTGCTTCGAATTTAAAGGACATTTTTTTTTTAAATTTCATTTGAGAATATTGGCTTCGCCACACAGTTTATTAAGATAACAAATTCGCCAACAGAATTATCTATAGTAGACTGGTTTACAGATTCTAATGTGTTCACGATTATCCGTGTCCCATCTAATTAAGTTTGATATACTTTGTTCAACACACGATGTATTATAACTGTTTATAGCAATACTGAAGCATAGGATTGCATGATCTGAGAACATGTTGAAATCGGATATGTGAAATGTCTGGATTGATCTGTAATCTTCTTGCTTACATAATAAATAGTCTATAGTGGAGCTCACATTGTATCCAAAGAATGTATATGAGTCTGTGTCTTTAAAACGCCTGTTACAAATCCGTAAATCAGTGGCTTTGAATATGTCTAAAAGCTGGATATCGTTAGAGTTATGATGAGTTTCCATAGTCGACCGTTCGATTGGAATGTCCGGAACATAATCCTGTCTATCCATGGCTGAATTTATTCTATCGTATAAAATATAGTCTGCTTTTTACCAACTCTGCTTTTTACCAACACTACTATTTATATCTCCCGCAATCTCCCGAAGTCTGACAATAATGTTTATCGCTTTCATTAATTTCAATTAGATTGCTATTGACAAAGTTATAGTTACGTCGGTGAATCTTGTCCCCATAAGTATGTTGCACAAATAAAAATATCACTTTCTATCCTAAAAAATTCTTTGTCTAGTTTAATCCAAATGATTGTGCCAAAGTGATTACGAACTACTGTTATGCCGTTTGCAATTGATTGATTTGATTCTCGACAGTACAACACTATACCACCACTACATCTACGTGCCTTTTTATGCTGGAATTTGCGATAAAACTTGTAAGATTTGCAACCATCGAAATCTACTATACTATCCTGGTTAGTCCACGTCTCTAGCAAGAAAATGACATCGTAATTTTCAATCAGGTTTCAGAAATCTTTATAGTCCATTTTATATTTAGTAAATCCATTGCAGTTCCAAACAGCAAATTATAAATCACTCCCCATAATGACAATAAGTGGAAAATCCATGTCCGCTCAATAATGTGAGGATGAATAAGTCTCTGCTTATGAAATTACGGACATTGCCTATGGATATTAGATGGATGACCCATACTGAATTTGAAGTCAAAAGTCAAGGTCACAGTGAATCTTAAGTTGAAATTCTTTGTCTGCGCAACAACTTTGGAAAGAATAAAGTTATGTGTATAATATATAGAGGATATTTGTTTGTTTGTGTGTAAGATGAAATTTTATTTCATCGAGTGGGCTTTAAAAACAGTATTCTCACGAGTGGCGTAGCCACGAGTGAGAATACTGTTTTTAAAGTTCACGAGATGAAATAAAATTACATCTTACAAAACAAACAAACAAATTTTCTTTTTATTTTATGCTAAAAAACAAGTTTAAACGAAATTTCCATAATATTAACATAAATATTAAAATCTGTTTCCCCATTGAGAGCCCCATTTCGTGCGAATTTCTCATTAAAAACAAAAAGTCTTGAGCTGAAAAATAAGCCCGACAATCAACATTAAATGACAGTGATATTATTTATTTTGTTTAAAAAATATGAATGATCGCTTGTTTTAATAATAAAAACAAACAATTCATGTAGGAGAAAATTCCAACCATCCATCCATATTTCTGTTACCTACTGCGAATTTATATTAGACCTGGCTTTGTTAAATGTAAGCGGCAGCCATTTTTTAAAGTTGTGTATTTCACGGGAGGAAAATAATTTGTGTTTGATTCAGAGGGATATCATTTGGAATTGTTAGTCATACACCTTTTTAAAAGAAAGAAAACATATTTGAGGATTGAAACAGACAAAAATTAAGTGTTGACAGATGTGAAAACATGAAAAAAGCAGCTATGAAAATGGAAGACTTGGAACTTGCTCGGAACGCTGGGTTGGTTTACTTGTTCTACGAGCTGTAGCTGTCATTGCTTTTCAATTTTTCATAAAGCATACGGCAGTTATTACTCGTAGGATACTTTAATATGCCCAAATGTCATCAAGAGCAGTTTGCATGTGGAAGGAATGTATTTTTCAGACTGTAAAAATGAAACAAAAAATTTAGAGACGAAATTTGGTGATTGGAATTTGAATGAATAGAAGTAAGTTTTCTTCTTTTTATTACTTTTGACGTTTAAGGTATTTATCAATTTCAGCTTTCCTTTTTCTTTAAACAGCCTGACATTGTCTGAATTGTCAGCAAAAATATAATTGAGGTACCACATGGGGAAAATTTTAAAAAAGTAGTTTCGTCATTGAAAAAAGTGAAATTATATTTTGATAATTTTCACTGTGAAATTACCAAATATAATTTTCACGGATAAATCAGTAATCCACTGAAAAGCATAAAATAAAAATGTATATGAAACTTGATAAAAACATTGTCCTGGACCATTGGGCGACCATTGATTTTTTATGCAATTAAGTCAAGGATAAAGTTCATAGTGACTCTTAGTGGCAGGTTCTTGTGAATATGTAGCTTGGCAATAAACTAATATAAGCTTTTTAAAACTTCAGAGAGACTCTGCTTTTACCCGCCCCCGTCTTGATGTATAAGTAAAAGAAAAAACATCGAAACACGAGGCTATCTGATTTGTACAAGGGGTATAAATCAAATTGCCGGGTAATTTGGTGTTCTTTCATTGGCAAAAATAAAAACACGTTCCCTGTTGTCACAATATGAAACCCCAGAAAAAGTAACCAATGAACGAGCATCTGAATATGATATTTCTGCCGCTATCTTTTTCTCTGCCTTCACTCTAAGTAAACCCCAAATAAAATGAGCCAATCAATGGGTATGCTTTATGATACATAAAGGTTAATAGATCATGGTAAAAAGTAGTAAACAAGTAATAGAAAAAACATCAAAACACGAAGCTATCTGATTTGTACGAGGGGCGTAGCGTAACATGTTCCCTGTTGTCAAATATGAAATCCCAGAAAAAGGTAACCAATGAACGAGCATCTGAATATGATAATTCTATCGCTTTCCCGTTCTCAGTCGTCACATAAAGTTAACACCAGCAAAAATGAGATAATCAATGGGCATGCTCTGGAGTGCAAGTAACTAGGTAACTAATACCTGCACTCCAGTTAACGCACTGTGCATGTAAATGTTTATGATTTTACTCTGACACATTTTCAACTGAAATGTCTCCAAATTATAAAATAACTATGTTTTAGTGCTTTTTACATTCTTCCCTTAAAAGTTTGTTTTTTACTGTTTTAAATCTTTATTCCTTATTTGTTAAAGTTGATATGTTTTTAAACAGTTTGAATTTATTATCTACAATACACTAACATAGAATGTAATTCCTGTATCTCTTTATATCCGTAGAGTAATGCTACGTTACTTTTAACAATTTTTGCAACCTTACACTCGTCTATTTGTTCTACGATTCCATGAATGAATTGCGTGCAATATAAGAAACACATCTTTTAAAATCCAATGCTCATTTTTAAACATGAATGGTATAATCTTTTAGTTACATCGCATGGCCAGACCTACAAACATATAGTACAAGTTACATTTGATGAAAGATGCATTTGATGAAATAGAAATGTAAAAGAAAACAAACAGGATTGGTACGTTTTTCATTTTTATTCAGTATATAAAGAGTATAAGGTGGCATCGTTCTGATTTCAGTTTGTATGTGGGGGGGGGGGTATGAAAAGTACATTGTTCAGTAATAACAATCATAACAATAAAAATCTATTAAACTTATACATTTACAATGTCCATGTATGTGATTTATGTTGTACAAGTAATTCAAACTTTATTAAAAAATGAATAAATAAACAAAATATTGTCGCATAATTAAGAAAAAACACACACAAAAAAAACAATAACAACAACAACAACATACGTATATTCTAATGTAAATTCAACCAGTTGTAGTATTTTACATACGTTCAATATCTTATAGCCTATTTGCAATTGCCAAAACAAAACAAAATACATGTAATAAGAAAATAAAAATGAAAGACCTAGTACAATTATATTTCTTGCTCATAAAATAATGATCTATATTATATTTGTATACAAATTAAGTGAAGTATAAGTACTTAGTTACTGTTCAGAAATGTGAGTCTATATAACGTTCCCCCCACCAAAAGAAAAAAAAAAGACAAATTAACTGATAAAATGCACTATATAACAGTAATAATTTCATTATTTTAGTGATCTATACAAACTGCTCTGATTTGTTCTCGTGTTATAAAGTCTTTAACATTTAAATATATACTAGATATTAACAGAGTTTTTTTCAGATCCCAAAGATGGCATTCGAACATTTAGTAATCTTAAGTTTCAATATTATTTTATGAACAGCATTTGCAAATTCTATCATCAACATGTTTATTTATGGATATTGTATTCGAAAGGCTTTCCTGATAATATCAATTCTTCTGCGACCCGTTTTAAAACCTTATACTTAAGATATTATCGTATACAAATTGAAAGCCGCATATGTAACATTAAAATATTTCAATAGTTTGAATATTTTTTAATTCATATTGTCCCCATGGGAGACAGAGGTGTTGTTCAAATGATTTCTCTCGTTAAATAAAGTCTTTATTATTATTATTATTATTATTCGATACCTAACGGTTTCTATTCCTAATTGATGAGTACTATTTTTAAACTAAGTAAGAGAGATCTTATTATACTATTTTAAACATTATTCAGATAAGGTTTGTATATGTAACCTTTTTAAAATTTTGAATACGTTCTTATTTTTCTCACTCGGCTCTTTATAGCATTCATTTAATCGTTCTCGCCATTTTGTTTAAAACAAAATTTTAACAATTTTCAAAAAGTTTATGCTGTGGTGTTGATTCTTGGCTACTTTTAATTTGTCTAAGACAACGACATAAAACATTGAATCTTGCTTTATTTTATTGTTTGTGTGTAGGGAAAAGCTCTCTTGACTTGTATTTTATATCAATGAAGTTGGCTTGGCATATAAAAGCCTAGTAGGTTCAAACCCTGTCAGGGGCAAGCGGTTACATTCATTGCTTGGTACTGGTTGATTCCAGAAACGGATTCAAGAGTGTTTCAATAGCTTCAAACACAATCGAACTAAAATAAATTTGTATAAACTAAAAGCCTATAACAGTACTATATTTACTATAATATTTTAATTTCACAAAAAATAAAATGAGAAAATAAACTTATGTAAGATTATTACATAGTTTTCTTCTTCGTATTATTACAAAGAGTAGCGTATTTACATAGAAATATAATTTACCTCGATATGTTCAACTCAACTCAATTTTATTAAGCATTCAGTATATACATATACATTAATTCAATTAGATACATCATAGATAATGGTAAAACATGATCACAGACTTCATACAAACTAGTTCATATGTGACATACTTTTATGCATTTGTTCAGACAATACATATATTTTCATTTATTAGCAACAATTTAAAGAAGAAAGACACAATATATACACTTGGAAATAAGTTAACCAGACCACAGAAGTCATCCCGCCTAAATAAGTCGTCATCTCATGACAGTGCTTTCAATCACAACCAATTTTAAATTTACGAGTGAGCTTAAATTATTTCCAGGTGTAGGCCTATACAAAAAAGTATTGAAATAATTAATATAACATTCTGCTCTTAATTCCAATGCTTCTTCAAATATTTTAGCAACGATATTTTTTTCTTAATTTACCATAAAATTGCTGATACAAAGAATGTTCTAGTCAAAGAGCCTCGATTGATTAAGGCTGTCCCGACGAACTTGCCAAAGGTTTACGGGAACCCTTGAATTAAAAGATAATAAATATACAATTAAAAATGAAAGTTGATCTTAATCTTTTTGAGCATCAATAAATCAATGAGAATGTTGATGCAGTGATTTTTATTTTAAAATATTGCTGATTTCATGTACAAACAACCAAGACAAATTGGATAATAAATTCTTGAAATTAAAAAGAATGTTACATGTATGGAAATTCGGAAAAAATACAATATATTATAAAAATTAGCTGACATAAGTTCTATTACAATTATTCGCGTCATTAACATATCAATATCAGATTAGATAGATATATAAAAATAAAACCATACTTATACCTTTGGTTGTGGAATTTTATTTTCCTTACACCATTCTGCGAAAGACTCTTCAATTGTATCGAATAATTCTTGATCTGTTTCACTACAGTAAACTCGAATATATTGTTCGGCAAACGTGTCCGGTAAGACAAACGAAACCTATGACAATTCCAAAAATAGGAATACAATTTTGTGATCATCGTGATATAAACATACTTATTCATATAGTATGCACAATACTCGTGCCTGAAACTGACAAACAATCTCAGCTTTAAAATTTAACACGAAATTAAAAAAAAATATGATTACCTATAGAAGAAATAACATAGAAAGCATATAAAAATGACATGGTGTGTGTATATATTGTACTGTTTACCTGGTCTTTATCAATTCGTATGGGAATATCTTCTTGACCTTTTTTGAAAAACCAGACATTTGTAACTGGATCTTTGTCCTTACTTCCGTAATCCAGGTTAACAACCTTTGAATCAAAGTTTTATCGGAATTATAACAGTGAACAAACTAGGGCACTTTGAATCATAGTGTTAGCGGAATTATTACTGCAATCACAATAGGGATCTTTGAATCATAGTTAGCGGAATTATTACTGCAATCACAATAGGGATCTTTGAATCATAGAGTTAGTGGTATTATCACTGCAATCATAATAGGGATCTTTGACCCATAGCGTTAGCGGAACTATTAATGAAATCCCAATAGGGATCTTTGAATCAAAGAGTTAGCGGAATTATAACAGTAGTTAAAATAGAAACCCTTGAATCATAATGTTAGCGGATTTATTACAGCAATCAAAATAGGGACCTTTGAATCATAGTGTAAGCGGAATTATTACAGTAATTAAAATAGGGATCTTTGAACAGTTCTTTATTAACATGTAGAAAGTACTAGCGAAATTATTGAAACAATGTAATATTTTACTTTTTAAAATGTAGTTTGCAAGTGCAAAGTATTTACGTTTTACATAAGCTATGTATACAAAATGTTTGAAAAATAATGCATGTATTTATTTTTGTATATTATATTGATATTCATGATTCGGGAATGTTTTATGTTTATGCTACATGTTGAAAGGACTTAAAGTTTTTACATACGTCTATTTCAAGGACTTCCGACAAATCTCTCTCATCAATTCTTTTCTGATTAATCCTGTTAAACAAATTTTCTTGGACAGATACCTTCTCAAATCTATCTTTCTGCTGCAAAAACATGGCATTATTGACGTCACAAAACGATGAATAATAAATGCTAACAAAAGATACATATAACAAGTAACATATATTTTGTTATATATGTTTCTGCTCAAGACTTTATTCTTTTCATGTACACATATCGTCTTATTCCTACTTCAAGACAGTCACATACTTTTAGTGAGAAAAATGCAGTAAAGTATAAAAATATATTTATCAATCAAGGTAAATCAATAAAAAAAACAATCGATAAATACGAGGGTTATTTTGGAAAGTTTGTATAATTCTTTTATCAAATGTTCAATAATCATGTGGACTACAAACAAATCGCACACTCATAACCTTCAATATTTTTATATGTTATCCATTAAATACAATCCTCGTAGAATATACCAGGTGTAATATTTTTAATGTGAGCAAGTAATAAATGCTCCTCTGTTAAAGTTTAAGTTTACTTTGTAACGCGAGGAATGAAGGGGAGAAACATGCACCAAACTTGATTCGATCAAGAAAAATGTATATATAAGAGAAACAAACGTCCTAAAGCAATGTATTTTACGTATAAAGTATGAAGTAATAAGATCAAGCAGCTTCCGGATCACAAACAGATATGCATTATGGGTATTCTTGTCTATCGGTCATAGATCTATTTGTATAGTTTGTAAAAGATATACGGGAAACAAGAAAAATGAAAAGAAAAAAGCAAAGAAAAAAAAAACAAAAAACAAACAACACGAAACATTTTTTATAAAGTATTTTACAAAAGTCAGATTATTTTACCTCCGTGACTTTGACTTGTGTCTGGCATATGCATTTGTAGAAATCTCTGCGCACTATTCTTTCTATGGTAGCTTTTGACTTTTCTAAACTCTTTTTGGAGGAACGCTGTATCTTTTGAATGACGTCATCAGTGAAATGTGTATAAGCCTTCATATCGTAGATTGTGTCAGACATTTTCACCCTGACCCTTTAAATACATGTATTTTAATTAAGACGTTAATACTTATTAGTCTGATTTTTGCATAACAATCACATTTTTACAAAATAGGTAAAGTTAGAACATGTATTTGATTGATATGTACATGTCTTTGGTTTTAGTCACCATATATGGTACTTATCATAAATTAAACATAATTATACATCTTTTATCACATTAGTCGAAGGTAATTGCGTACAAACTTCAATCTTTCAAAGGCTGATAAAAAAAATTCAGAAAGTTCATTGGGTGTTGCGACAAAATTATCAAATAGGTTAATACAGGTTTAAAGTAACGAAGATGACGTATCGTTTGGTAATAGTAAACAAAAGCAATAAAAGCAAATTTTGTATTTGAAAAACAATACTGCCACTGATATTATCACGTCAATAATATTCAATCTCAATCATGTTACAATAAGATATACTTTACCCGTTTTCTCCGACATATGAAATGTGGTCATTTGCATCATGCAAGGCATTGCATACCCTTAAATATAAAATAAAAGGTTAACTCCGTCTTTGTTAATTTTACAGATCAAATCTTATACCTGGTGTGTTGATTCATTTAGCATTCATTAAAACATTGAAAAAAGTTCATGGAAATCAAGTGTACCAAAATAAAATAAAATAAATCAATGGTAAAGTGAATAATCTATTAAAAACCATTTCTTACTCGAGCAATAATATAAGGCTCTTATATAAACATTATACTTATACATACATTAATCCAATAATATTATGCGTTTTGTGCTGATACGCCCTCCTGTATAGAGTAAGTCTTGCATAAAACATATCATATATGTCCTGAGCTGCCTGAAATGTTGTATTTCGGTAAGTGAACTGAATTTCTAACACCAACATCTACGCAGTCGATAAGGCAATTATTTGTAAACAATACTTGATAAATATGCAAAAACATATAAAATTTATAAACATTACATCAACTGGACAAATCAATAATCATATAATATATTTGACTCTTATTGAGCATCATAAACTAAGAGTACGTGATAAGGTCTGATATTATTCTTGTTATTTTAAACTCAGATCTTGTGTAAAATAAACTCAGTATAAGTTCTTACGTAAAATAAACGGTTTACTATAAAATGTAATGAGGTCGGAATGCAAGAAGTATTGTTAAACAGAACTTAAATATCTTAGCAATTTTATTAGAAAGTAAAAGAACAATACAATTTTTAGAACTATCCGTTACATTTTATTTCATAATTGCAAAAACTATCCTTTTCATATTAGTTTAAACTATCTTAGAATGACAAGAAGTATCCTTTACATTTTATTTTAGAATGACAAATGAGATTCCGTGATTTCAGTTTGTAATTTTAAAATTACTAATGAAAACTCTTCTTATTTAGTTTTTCCCTGTAAATTTTACAGGAAGTCAACTGAAATCAGAACGGCCTTCGGTCGGAAAAGATAGGCACATCAGACTTAAAGCAATATATGCTCTCTCGAAGTCATAAAAAGAAACACTGATTAGATTTCTCAAAATATACTAGGTTTTCGAATTTATATAATGATGTGTCGTCGGTAACTCTACCTTTTCTCTGTAGCAGATTTGTTTTCTTCCTTCAGCTGTAAGTACTCGTGCATGTTGTATACACCTGTTGTGATCAAAACCATTTTCCATCCCCAGCATGTAGCTATCGCGGGCAATATAGTCCCATCTGTCAACGTCTACCCCGGTCACGTGATTAGCTACTACCTAGTAAACCAATTGGTATTAAAATGGAATAAAAAGGGCAATTTCGCTTACGAAATTAAACACACCGTATATGCCGCACCGACATTTAAAGTGTTGTTAAGATAAACACAATTAAGGTGTGTAAATAAATAATTTATTGCGCAGACTGTCAGTGTCTGTAGGCAAATGATAAAGAACATCCTGTTCACATACTAAACCTATGTATTTAATAATACCATTATTTGAAATAACTATTATTCATCATAGCTTCATGCAACACATTCATCATACAAGAGTTCAGTGACCGTCCAATAGAAAGTACCTCGTATAAAAAGCTCTTTAGCCTGTTTCTTCCTTCGTATGGCCAATTCTAAAAAAAGGAAACACATTATTTATCAAACGATATTCACTTTACACAGTAATACTTTCACTTAAGAAGAACATATCATAGTAGACGGCTTTTTAAATGAAAATATAGTCGGTCAATTATGGCAAAGTATGAAGATACATTAACTTTAGCGCTTACACAGGATAGATATAATTATATTAAAATAGATGTAAATCATGAAGACAGCTCGAATTTTATTTAAATCGATCTCGAGCTGTTTTTGACACTAAATAATATTGGTGTCTTATAGAGAAACATAGTACAAGTAGGGCAAGAACCAATGATATCTGGTCATATATTTGCTAATATATATTCACATTGAGATTTAACCCATTACTTCAAGAAAAATGGCTGTTTTCATTGAAAAGTCTCCCGTTACAAGTTCAAATTGTCTTAATACTATAAAAACTGCTTCAACACTAATCAAACTTGGCACAAATGTTGACTGGACCCTTGCCCTTGCAACAACATGCTCAGGCTTAAATTCTCTGTTACCATGGCAACGAGGGGACATCTCAAAATTGCCAAAAAATCACTATTTTGCGTTAATTTTTTCAATCATAATTGATTTCAAAGTGCTGCAACTTCTCAATGGATTGAGGTAGAGTCAAATGCTTTTCAGGGTTGGTTACACGTTACCTTAAGATCAATCTGGGGTCATTTATAGCCTCTCACAAGTCCAAAAATTTCTTGGCGATGAGGGGGACTCCGCCCCCTTCAAACCCCCCAAACAGAAGGGGGCACATCCCCCTTCTGGCAACCCCCTGATGTATCTTTTGGTTGGGGAGCCGCGCCGAAAAAGTGGTCACTTTTTTTTAACAACATTTCTCAAACAGAAACAAGTGTTGGGGGCCTAAATAAGGCATTTTTTCACCATTTGAGACAACAAAAAGGGGGGGTGAAAAAGGCGTTAAAAGGCGTGTATATGACGTAATGGGTTAAGTCACTTAATAACATAAAAATTTAAATACACAATATATTTTTGAATATGCACTGTTTTGTGCCAAAAACATGTGCACATAATATGAAATACAGAATCAGCAATAATAATAGTCCATTTAAACTTGTAAAACAAGTTATTTGCATAGCACGAAATGTTTCAAAGAGACGCGTATATCAATAAGCTCACTTTCATCCACCTTAAGTCTATCATATGTATCACTTAAGTACATGTAATAAAATACTGCTAAGCCTTCAAGAATAAACGTCGATTGGTTTCTAATTATAGTTTACCTAGAAACAAAATATTTATACAAACTTCTCCATTTATATCCCTTCGAACACCTATGAGTTCTTTAATGAATGCAATATCTCTGTCTTCAAAGCTAGGTATCATCCGTTTGAAGTCATCATACAGTTGACCATTGTTTTCACGTAATATAAGCTCAAACATCTTCACTGAGGCCATCTCGTGCTATTAAAGAGAATAAATATACTGTACAAAACTTTTATATGTTTTGATAACCCCGGTATATTTGATTAAGGTTTATATAAAATTTTGTAAAAATAAATATATTGACATGAAAACTTCAGCTGTATGAAGGTGAAGATCCGTTAATTTCGCAGTACTAAAGACGGGCTTCTTAGACATGAAACAGCAGGGTATATTTCCTGACACATCAGTTTTCATGGAGACTAAGATCGTTGCATATCATAAGTATCAGCCTTCGCTTGGACTGGCGTCTTATAGAATGCATTGATATCTTTCATCTTATCAGTAAATGGTGTAAATTAACAAAGTAAATCATTAAAAAAATATAACCTTCCATCCAGCATCCGAAAAAGTGTATACTGGTATGAATTTTTTTTCAAACACATGAGAGAAAGGTCCTTGCCCTGAAAAAATGCTCTGGACATCAATTTACATTGTACAAAATATAAATGAATGAATAAAGAAATAAACAAACGAACAAAAAGATAACGAAAACAAAATAAATTAGAATTATTAAATTGTTTCATTACAATTTTTGTTATGACTTTACTATCTCTAACTGTTGGTAAAATCTTAAAAAGGAGGTCACAGGCAAGTTAATTGAATATTTTTATCTGCCAATTCCTATCAAAACAACAAAGCCTGTACTCTTTAAATTTTTTATATTGTAAATTCGACCACCAACAAATGAGCTGTATGAACATGTATGACTTGAAGTGAACTTTATCATGTACTTTAATTAAATGTTGCTCTGTGTTTGTTTGAAAGCTATGTACAGACATTTCTAAAAAGAGCAATTTAAACAGGTTAAGCGTGAATTTTAACTGATTATCTTATTTATGCCAAATAATTGGTAAAGTGTTTATTGTTACCTAGGTCATGACACAGGGCAGCAACCTCTACACACAAAATATCTTTTGTTGTGATGTCTAACTCAGGTTGGCGTTCTTTAAGAACTCTTAGCAGCTTACCGGCCAGGTAACATACGCTGTGAATTTTTATATTAAACATGTTAATGAGCTCTTTGTGCAATTTTTAAGCACTTTCTATTTTATAAAAGGGAGATCCGGAAATTTCATGACAACAAAAACCAATTCGGCGTAAAATGTTGACAAATATATTAATATCTCAAATTGTCTAAATACCATAGTTAAAAGGTAATGAAATATTAGGAGGAAATATTTTGATAGATCAACTTAAAAAAGTTATATCTAAATGAAGTTGTATTTATGTAACCTTTTTTTGGAAAAGATTTATTATACATGTAGTTTTCAATATTACATAGATGCTGCTTGTATATAAATTAATACATTTCTATACAGTCAACACTATAGTTCGATCGTGCTATTCCGAAAACTGGTAAGATAAAACTGGGTTTTATTATGATATAGGCAACTTGAGATTACAGATAACTGATACAATGTATAGATGATATTTGATTAAGTGTTTGAGTATTATTTTTGCATGCAAGTACCCTACTGGGACAAATATTTTAGTGTGAAAAATAAGGTGTATAAAACACTTAAAATATTTGTGACCAGAACACTACTAATGTTAAGAACAACAAGTAATTTAATATGAAGATACATTTACTAATGATAAAAGTGAATCACTCAAAAATGATTTGATCTATTATATTCCAGGCATTCCGTGCATTGTCGTTACATGAAAAACATTCATCGAAATACGTTTACAGACAATGTCATGAAAGCGCAATTTTAAAGTGCTAACTGTATTTAACGAAATCAAATTTGTATAGCTGCGGGATCTATTAAGACTCGTAAAGCCCTTGAAAAACATTTTGAAATTGATAGATATTACGAAACAAATCATCTGTTTTATTTGAAAATGATGAAAACATAAATGATTTTTGTAGCAGTGCTTATGATTGAGCCGATGTAGATTTTTATTGCACTTAAAACTTTTAATAAACTTGTATGGTCGAAATAGGTAAAATAATGGCATGTTTGTTGTAATATATAACGAATATATTTCAATAACAAGTGTTTCACAGCCCCATATGTTTAATGGTTCTATCGAAAAACACTTTTAAGTCAAGTTTTCTAATCATACATACATACATACATACATACATACATACATACATTCTCAGATACCAAGTAATGAAGCTAAGCAATACAGACTTTAATTTAGGCTTGGAATATTCATGATATTCATATACGCATTTGATATGCATAAATCCTTAATCATGATTCTATGAGATATCATATAGTGAAAAATTAGTCAAAGTCGAACCTAGGAAAAAGTAATTCTGATCACGGATTAATAATTTGTAAATGAAAATATATTAAATACATACCCTATTGAATGTTCAAATCTATTGTGACTTGCTCCCGGATAAACTAAATATACAGTCTCTAATTGCTTAATGTACCTCAATCTTTGGAACTGTGGCGTGTCGATAATCTTCACACATAGAGGATGCAATTCTATTTGGCCATACAACGGGTCATTGAAAATCTAATCAAAAAGTAAGATATTAACCTTAAAGAAAGAGACTTTGAATCTTACTCTAAATAATGCCAATATCTAAATCGAATGAATTTATTTAAAAACAAATATTCAAAATCAAGAAAACCAATTAAGTACGCAAAAAGTTAAAAGTTTTTATTTATATTTGTTTACCTATTCAACAAGTAAATACTATGCCATTGTCCATATATCTTATAAAGAAATGAGTGGACACCCTAGAAAAAACTTTTAATTAGAAATTGTCCTGAAACAATCTAATACTAATATCTGCCCATAAACTAAAAAAATATATATAAAAAAAACAGAAGAAAAATAATCTCATTGGAAATGTATGTTTTGTGATCGAATCAATGATATAAAGGTGTATTTAAGGACAAATAAGTTTGAGGCGACATTAAACATGTGCAATAAAATAACTTTTAAAGGCATGTGCATCTATCGGGATTATACATGTATATTATTTAAATAAGAGCACTCCGAGATAGCTCGAATGGGTTCTACATCAGTTATAATAAACATACGAGAGGTTATCCAAACATTCGCGCACTTTCTTTATTCCGTAAAATATATTTGAGATATTGATTTAAAATTCTTACACTGCTTAGAAGAATTAATAATAAATAAACACAGAAAAATTCATGTGAGTAGTTTCTTGTATTAAAACAATATTTGATTTTACATAAAGACATTGAGACATATCTATGACAGCGGCGCACTCCAAAATGTTATTGCCGTCAACGTCATATAACGCACATATTGTGCTTCAACATTACGCGCTCAATGACTGTTACTGCTTTGGAAAGTAATGTCCGTTTTCCCGTCCATCACTTAATTTTTAATGCAACTGAAACACTGAAAAAATTATTTTCTCTATTCGCCTGGGATTTTTTTTCAAATGTTTTTGTAGTTGTCATTTCCAAATTAAAACAAAACTTTCTGATCGCGCGATTTTCTAATTTCTACGTGTCCGTCATTTTCACGTTGTAAACAATATCTGCGTCTGGCGTTTCTAGCAATATCAATAAAATTAACGGAAATGACGTCCACAGTTTTGAACAAAAATACTTTAATGACGTCATGGAAGAAACATGCGATGTGTAACGGGTTTTTAACGTTAATTATAAGTTTTTTAGCAAAGAATAAACGATGACTAACAGCGCTTTTCATACCGTGTGCAAGGTGCTGTGTATGTTCTTATATAAAAGCAATATATAATTATAATTAATTGACACAGTTAACTGTCTTTTCAAAATGTGTTGATAATATTCTACAAGGTATGCTGATAGAATGTCATTACAATACACGTTGACGTTTAAGAGATATCTAAAAAGTCCACGAATTTTTGAATAACCCCTCGTATTGTTATCTCATTCGTGAGTACCTTTGCGCTAAACTTTTCCCTTTTATAAGCGAAAGTGCGGTGACCCTCTTCGTGTTTCAAAACACCGTCTGAAATATCAAGGTTAAATACTATTTCAGTTTGATAAAATACTAGTAAATTAACATTACTTTGCTCAAAATATTTAGTAAAATAATCATTTTACTGTAGAAGTTATCAGCAATTTTATACGGGCATATAGTAGTCAAACCATTTAGTCGATGCTACTTCTCATTACTTATAGAGAGTAGTTATCTTTAAGAAGATGTTTTAAGACTGTGGCGCCTCGAAATGATGATTATTTCTTTCCAAAGAATAAGACAGAAGTGGTAAAGATATAAAAAAAGTAGTCATACCTAATGTTTTTATTGTTTCCTCATATACTTTACTTGGAACATAAACTTGCAATGTCACAAGATCATCTATCATTTCTTCAATTGCCATTGTCATATCTAGCAATCTTCTCTGAATGATTGGTCCACTGAAGTAATCTAGAAGGTATATCAGTGACGTAACTGAAGAACATGTAAACTTGAATATAATAGAACCAGATCCAGCCGTTTCAAATTCAGGATCGCCCATTTCACGAACATCACCTCTAATTTTTTCTATGGAAATCCTGAATGTTCTCATTGATGAAGATTCTGGTGAAGAAGTTGTTCCTGATGATATGTCTTGTTGGACTGCAGCAAGTTCTCCCGATTGCTTGTATTCACCTTGCCATCCTATACCTATTGATAATGCTTCAATAAAAATGTAAACGTAAGAATAGCGAGTATATGTTGTTGCAGTCAATACCTAGATATAGTATCCAGTTAACATATTTTCTTACTCGTAAATTCCACGAATTCTTTCAGTGATTACAGCATTTTACATAAAAAATAAATTACTTTTTCCAGGTAAAAGAGAAAACATAGATTGCATCTGTAACAGAACGCTACACATTCACAAAATGTGGAAAAAAACCCCAAATAAACTAATACTTATATTCCATCTAAAACAGATTGCAACAGAGATTATTCTTAAATATTTATCGGTAACAATCAATTTAACATTATTGGAACAAGGTATATTATGATCGCATGTCTTTTCAATGTGTGCCAATATCTCAAATTATTTCAAAGAAACTAACTATGCACTTCAACATATTTACTATTCATATATTAATAAGGAAATAGATATCAATTCTGAGTACATTGTTGTAGAATAATGCACGGTTTGAGTTCAAATGCGTAGTAATATAATCACAAAGACCGATAGGCCTGAGTGATTAATTACAAAGCATTTGAACGAAAAACGTGCATTATTATACAATCATGCACGAAGAATTAATATCTATTTCCATTGTAACTCGTCAAGAAAAAATAAAATTATTATTATAAAGTTGGACTTTATGTTTGGTGGTTTAATTTTGTTTTCGCATCCGAGTTTCCCAATTGTGACGTCACGTTAACAACACTTTAAACGTCTGTACAGCGTTAACGACTGAATTAAAGATATTGGTGTTAGGATTCATTTTCTTAGTTAGACCATTTTCTTTCATTCTAGATATTTTTCACAACAAAATTCGACAAAAAATTGTTTTTATTTATCAGATTTTTTAAACAAAATGGCGCCCTCAATGTGAAAATACACAGGGAGATAATTAGAACGGCGAGTGCATTATTGTAGAATAATGCACGCTTCGGGCCTTCTTTGTTTATATAGAAAAAATTCTAATAGTGTTAGAATGTACAATTACGTTTCAAATTAATAATCATTTAGAAAGGAAATATAAGTAAGAGTATTAAACGTATTACATATCTCTATATTTGTTGATCGGTCATTTTCTTCAAACTTCATATGATAATCCAACAACCTTGTCTTTACTTCGCCTACGTCTGAAGTGTAAATGAAATAGACACTAACTTTAAATTATGACTCCTTCAACATGATTCATATAAATATACTTTATAAACATTGTTTTCGGAAATCAAAATAAATTATTATCAAATATGCTTTGCTTAGATAAATATGGGCACAGGACAACAAAAATGCTTAAGTATATAGTATATTTTACTAAAAAAATAAAGCCATTACCTTTCCCGTTGTTTTCGATTGAAATTCCAATGTTATATTTTTCATCTTCAATCGACCATTGCTTTAATTCTTTCTCTCCTTCTTCAACATCTTTTTGCTGAATATTTTGATTATTTTCAATTATTTTGTCTAATTCCGATTTTAGCTTTTTATTGTTTAATTCTTCCTCACATAGTCTTAAGATACCCTTCATCCTTTCTATATAATTTTTATACGTGCTCTCTGGAATATCTTTAGTTCCTCCAAAATGCACAACCTTGTTTCTTAGATGCTTCAAGCAAAGTATATCCTGGCGAATCTTTCTCGGCAATTTACAGAACTCTAATAGCAGGAGACAAAACGTGCTCAAATCCCACTCATCGACCTTTGCTTTCTCCATCTCTCCAGGGTAGAATATATGTTCCTTTGATTTTATATGCTCATAGCCTAGTAATTCTTTTTTATATTCTTTTAAGAAATCATCTACAGTCCACGGTTTATCAAGTTTTCCCGGTGTTATATCACTAATCCTTTTCAGGAACAATTCTTTGGTCAACATAACTCCACAGTGACGAATAACTATAACCATGTGACCGTATCTCACCGATGTCATCTTTCAGCATATATGTAGTTGAACCAGATATTATCGGGTAAATGCCTTAAAACAAATTTTTTAATTCATAAACATTGAAAAGTGACTATAATGAGTTCAATATATTGTTACAAGTAAAAATACTGCTACCTTATTTTGTTTTCTAATATTTACTTTATGTAATGTAAATAGAATAGTTTTACATGGTATTTATTGGTATTTAACACATTTCTGGAGTAAGGGTATGTTTGAGACTATGTCATGCAACATTAAAGTGTGTGGATGACAGATGACATTTTCAACGATGCGATATGAATTGTTTAATCACGATTCATAAGTCATAAAAGATACATAACTCCACAACAACAACAAAAACATCCAAACAAAAACAAGTCATCATTCAATCTTTTATGTTTAAACAAATATCTTAATTGTTTTGCAATGAAAGTTATTTTATATTTCCCATAACATACGTTTTGGATGATTAAAAGTTTGGCTAGAAAATGATCCAGAAAAGTTATTTTGGCCTTTTGACACACTAAAAAGTACTTTAAAACAGCAGAACGCTTATTAGAATGTGTATAATAACTGACATCTGGGAAGTGTCAATTTCGACACTTAAGACACGATTAATGAAATATCTAAAAGCTACATCTTTCCGAGAAATTTCCGACATTTTATTCTTAAGTACATGGAATGCTCATCCTTCATTAAAATCATTCATGAAAAATATATAAATCATCTGAAGTATGCAAAAAGTCAGCTTCATGTGTAGCTAAAATAACTCAATAAGATTGTTTATTGTTATATTTATGTAATTTTTACACATAGTAAATAATGGCAAACCAAGAATATCGCTGAAGGCGAGCGATGCTCTTCGAACATGCACATTTGTCCACTTTAGTCAATACTGGCTGTAAGAGCAAAAATGTAAAAATTTTAAATATAAGTTATAGTGCCCACCAAGATATTGCCTAGTATTATTAGCAAGTGACGTTCTACACAGGATACGCATTATTTAACATTTTAAATATAATGGTAAAACAAATAAGCAGACACTGTACGTAATAGTTACTGCGCGAGGAAAAGGTCTACCGGGTGGAGATTTGATGACCGAGAAAGCGTAGTGATCGAGGTTTTCAAAAGACTACCCAGTTCTTTTAAATACTATGAATAACTTTATTATCTACATGCTCTTTTGTTTTTATATCCAAAGATCAGATTTATTTATATTACTCACAAGAAACTTAATATTTATTTACTTTATCATGTTTAAGCCATTCAAAGATACCAACCGCTACGCTGTTGTAATTTATAAGTGCACAAATCATGTGTTATTTGAATGTTTTCGTGTTTTGCGTGGGGTGTCATTATGTTATAAGGTCAGGTAAGTGTACTTGTTGAGTTGTGTCACAGAATTGTGTGGTGTAGTACGGAAAGAAAAGCGCAGAACTAACTTTAACATTTTTATTCTACATAACAGTACAACGCTCTGACTCTGCTCAAATCTGAACTCCCTAACTGACGAACTGGACAACGAAGATCTTACAAAATACGTATACTCGAAAACATATTATCAATTATTCTGACATATGAATTTTGTATACCTTTATATTTATGAATTGCGAAATTAGATTAAAACCTTAAAGTATATCTATATGTCGACTTGTCATTTATAATTATATGAATCATAAAAATAAGCATTTACAAAAAACATCTATCTCAATTGTATTAGATTAAATGAAAACAGATTCTGTTTAAAGCTATTGACATAAGGAGGGCTCATTATTGGATCTAATCTTATTAATTTACCCTCGCCTAATTTCCGTGTCCAAAAGTTCCATATCATATGCAATGTGTACTCCATCTGTTTTTGTTTTCATTTTCCTATTCCAAAAAACATATCTGTTCTTACTTTGTTCTATGTAGTATATTCAGAAAGAGACCACTTTTAAATGATTTCCCCCATGTGGTACATCATTTTTATTTATCAGTGTTTTGGCTACAATTCCGACCATTTTAGGACTGTTTAGTTCATACTTGCCCTAAAATTCGCTCTGTTTGTCCGCCCTGCACTCTTTGTGCCGCTTTGAGTTTCGATGCTCTTGGTAATTTCGTGTCTGTGTTTCCTATTATTCTCGTACTTAAAAAAATTGGGTGTTTGATGTAAAGAGTTTATAATGCACTGCCGAGTACAATACTGATTCTCTTTGACTCATTTGCAATATTTCCTCAAATTAGAGAAAGGTTTTTATGCGATATGTGCATGAATATATTCTTAAAAGATTGTAAAAAAAAAACGTTTGATTGTTATAGCTTTGATTCAAGTTCTGAACATGTTTTTATTTTCTTCCGAAGAAGACATCTATGAAGAACTTCATAATAGAGAAAATGAGAATCCCCATAGAAAACCCAAGACATCAAAATTGAAAATATTGCACGCTCGGTTTCATTGAGCCTGTTCATGGACGATAATGTCAAGTGAAACTACCATCCACGCCCCCTTGCACCAGCAGAATTTAACATTTAAACATGAAATTGCGAAATTTAAATTTATAAACATTCGCAGATGTGTTCATATGGCGGTCATCATGGAACCTTCAATGTCACACTAGTGTCATTCCATGAAAAGCGGCGTTGGTTCTCAAATGAAAAGAAAGCGTGTGTCCTAAACGAGAAAACAATGGGCGGAACTGAACAAAAAGGAATATTGAAAGGGGTTCAGAGGTGTTAAGCCTGCATATCACAGACAAGACGTCAAAAGACAAAATTAAAAAGCAGGCAATATATCCTAAGGTTGATTCAACATTATTCAAGTAGGAAAATTGGAACCACCCAACTGGAAAATGCCAAATAGTTAAAACTAAAAAAAAAACACAATAAAACGCAACAATAATGTCGTGCTGAACGATCTTTTAGGATAGGAAATATAACATCTCTGATTGAATGTACGGGACGAACTTTTACACCCCTCATATGGCACAAACAACGCTGATGTGGCGATATAATAGACAAAATTAAGATCCAAAAAATGAAAGTCTAACTACGGTAACTCTGAACGCAGTCTGCATAAAGACAAAGAAGACTATCCCATACAATAGAGAAGAAAATATATCGGGTATGTTTTAATGCTCCCTATGATCAGGGTTTGATTTACGCATATCTCTCAGGATTTACCCACAAGGTAAATTTGATTTTATGCTTTCAATCTGATAAACTAGGGGAACACAAGGAAATGAAGTATTTCAATTTTTCTGTATTGTAAGGTTTAAATCCTGATTTATGCTACCTACGCACATTGTTTACATAAAAAAGTCAAAAGGTGCAATTGTGAATTAGTTTTGGAAATTAAACTATAATACCAAATCAATGTAGTTAAATTCTACATTATGACCCAATCACAGAGCCGACTATTAGTATTTAGATGCAAACTGTCTACAGTATAAAGTCTAAAGACCTTGATCAAATACGGTATAAAGTCAAAAGACCTTGATCAAATTAAAATTAATGTTTTTTGTTGTTTTTTTTTTAAATTCATTTTATTCTTGCATTGTAATTGACTAAGATAATGATATTGATATATATTGAAAAAGAGGAAGGACAAAAACTTATGCTCGGCAAATAGTTCTTTATTATTCACTGGTGCAACAAAACTTATTAAATATCACAGTCATTGAACTAATTTGTTATCTATTGTTATTATTTCTGCTGCATTAGATGCCGGAACAAAATTACTCTTCTATAAATTGAAAATAACAGTTCATCGTCATAAATATGTATTTGATCACTAAAAATACGTTTGATTTTTCTCTTTATTGCACAATGCAAACAATAATTGATATATCATCTCGGGGATCACTTAGTTAAATCAGTTTTGTATAAATGATAAAGTTTTTGTAGCCAGTCCAGTTAATTTGAGGTTGGTCATGAATGGTACCAGGTTAACATGTATGTTGCCCCCATTAAGCATCAAATGCATTTACGTTTTGATTTGCTTCGTGACCCTTGCGAATCTGTGCAAAACATGAGCAAGGCACAGCTCTACTTTTATGGTATGCGCATCTCACTAGATGTCCATTTATCAGATAGTCCCTTAGTATCTAAATTACGGTGTCTAAAAGACAGGTTATTCCCCATATTCTGTAGCATGAGTTCATGTAACAGGGTCTTATTTTTAGGATCAGGTCTAAGAGACAATTCTCTTGCTTTACTGTTGGATTTTATAATTTTGCAAAGGGAGAAAAATCCGCCGGTCTTGTCTGATACTTTGCAAGGGAGATTACTCTATTGGTTTTAACTGATTTTATCTTATGTTTACATTGGTCAGTATTCTAAGATTTCCAATGATTGGTTCACGGATCGTTGGTTTTAAGCTATTTTTATGTCATGTGATTTCTTGGCGGGAAAAGTCATTGTGTCTTTGTTGTTGTAAAGAAGAGTTGGTAGAAAAATTAGTGTTTGTGGTCCAGTTCTTTATTATATAAGTTGGAATGTATTTACCCTGACTGCTGCTAAATGCTTTATTGTAAATATGTAGAATTGCATTATTGTGATTCTGTTCTATTTTGGTTCAGTCCATTGATTGTGAAATTTGTAAATAAGTATGAGTTTCAGAATGACATGTATCTATCAAATCACCTTTCATCTTTTATTCACTAATAATATTCAACCTTGCAGTTAACAGTCAATGGTGTGATAGTCAGAGAAAGTATTAGGTTATAGATTGATGTACTACACTCATCCATCAGATGGTAAGTTACATGTGTGATGTATTGTGTATTGTTTAAAAGGTAAAATATTTTAATTGTGTGTATAATTCCATGACCTATGATAATATATTAAAGGACTGTTGCTGAGTTTAAAGAGCTTAATTGGCCACTAGACATGAATTTGATTATGTTCTAGGTTAGAACATAAAATATAATATTTATTCATGTAATGCATTGTTTCTTCTTTATTTTACTTTATATTTACATATTGTTATATACTTATTTCAGAGTGTTATTTGTACCTATCAAATCTACTTGTTGTAACAACCTTAATTTAAGATTAGATCAGTATATAAA